GTTGGACTCGATGATCTTAGAGGTCTTTTCCAACCTCAATGATTCTATGATTCTATGATTCTGTGCCAGCAGTCACATGTTTAACTGGCTCTGGGAACTCACCTGGCCAAAAATAACCCACTCTTTACAAATAATCTTATTTTTCAAAATTGTGCCCCTTAAGAGATCACAATTTTTTCAACAGTAAGCAACATGAGATGCACCACTGCATGGAAACTTGTTCCAGCTAAACAAAATTAATAAAGCAAGATGCCACAGATATTTGTATTAAGTCATAAAATGTTGGCCCTGGTTATTTCCACAGGGAGGCTGGTGACAATTATGAAGGTGCTGACTTTGAAGATGCATAGTGCATTTTAGTTAGTTACAGTGGCAAAAGAACCTAGAAAAGGACTTCAAACATCAAGGTGATTTAACAGTAGAGGTACAAAACAGTAAGATGGAACCAATATTCTTTGCTAAGCCTCAGCTCTTTCAAGAACATCCACTTCAGGAGAATAGTCCAGGCTGTCTTGGATCAATAATAAACCTACATTCTGAACCTGACAGTGATTTCTTAGCGATCTGGTCCTCTGACCACACAGCTCTCATCCATGCTGCCCATGTAGAAAGAGGTATGGTGGGTAAATACCTCCAGCTTCCAAACGGAGACCAACTATGGACTAAGTACAGCAACTGCCTACTGCCACTATGTTGTCTATGGACTAGGAAAGTTTGGGATCCACTGCACTGGAACTATGCTCTGAAAGGTGCTAAAGGCTCTCCTCAAAGGTCCTAAATATGCAGCAATATAGTTCTTGACAAGGAGAAAGAACAGTTTGTATCAGAGGTGCAGTGTGAAGGTGCCAGGGGCTACAGCAGAAAGCTTTGAGAAATTGCACAGAATTAGAGTACAAGGGAGAAAAACTGAATAGTATTTCCTTAAAAAAACGTAGATGCTTCAGGGAAGAAAGCTCAGCGAAAAGATGTTAGGTTTTCAATCTGTTGGGGGTTTTTTGTTTGTTTTGTGTTTTTTTATTCCCAGCTGAAAGCAGAGGAAATTTCATTACTGGATTACAAGAGAGAATATGGTTGGGCCCAAAGTAGAAATAAAGCTATCAGGTAATATTTTATTTTTTCATAAAGACTCTAAATATTTCATACCATTATTGTAAAGTATATACACATGAAATGCCATTCTAATAAAGGTGGGCCATACTATAATATTCATGATGAAGTTTACAGGTTCAGTGAAAAAGTATTAAAGGTGCACAAATTACAGACACAAGTATTTGAAAGCTACAAAGACTACCATCAAGTCTGCAGTCATGAAGCCACAAGTAAAGAAGTAAAACAGACAGTTGCAAACAAAGAAATGTTCGTGTCCATGCTCTAAGCATAGATAGGCAGACAAGCAGTAGACAGCCTGCCTACTTTTAAGGCCTAAAGACAGATGGAACAGAGCAATACTGCCAGTTAGCTGGTGTTCATTTGAAAAACCCGATCAGGTAACCAAAATCCAAGAACCACAAACCAACCATCCAATACAGATGATGGAAATGGTATTGGTAGCAGCCAGCTAGGAAACAAGGCAAGTCAGCCATCACTTTCTAGGACTAACAGAACTGAACAGAAGACTAAGGGAGGAACCGGCTAACTGCAGTACCTAGTGAACAGATGCCCACCCACCACAGAGATCACATGAAGAGTTAAAAAGTGAAACAGCCAAACCCACAATTCCCAGACAGAATAATTCTTCACGAAAGATCAAAGCTCAAAATCAATGTTTTCAGCAGTTGCTGAAGGTTATGAGTATCATGCAGTATTTTGATAACATTTTTTTATTTAAATAAGCACCACAGGAGATGAGTACAAATATCAAATGTCTCTTGCAAAGATATGTCATACAGTTCCAATTCAGCAATATTTAATTCAACTGCTGCACAACTGCTTTTATTAAAAAAAAAAACCAAAAAACACCACCTTTTTCCACACCTCTGGCTTTCTTTGTCAAACAGCAGGTTGCATTGGAAATTTTTACCCCGCAATGGCACTCTGGCAAGCCTGGTGAGGAATTCAGATGTGCTGTGAGACAGAGCCTGGCTTGGAACCATTAAAGAAAGCTCATGTCAAGCCCACCAACTGTGGCATTAAAACTACTGCACAAGCTATTATTTTGTCATGTGCAGTTAAAAGTAGTTGATGGGGCCTATTATGAAATATGACCAGGAATACATGCAAGAGCTTTGTATTTTTGCCTTTATCCAAAACATGATTATGCATTTGACTCCTGAGATGGGATGAGACAGTTTCTGCACCCTGGCCTCCAAGAGGGACGCAGGCATCACAGCACTGATGACAAAACTGACTGAATGGATCTAGCAGCTCAAGTGATAGGTCGTCCCGTTTCGTTTTCTCTGTTGCGCAGCCCCTGCTCAACAGTTCTGCTGAGTGAGAAAAAAAGAACCGAACCAAACCACCAGTGTGACAGACTGAACCAAACAGAGCCAGGCAGAGCACTCTCCAGGCTCTCACAAGCAATCTCTGGGAATAGCAGCATGCCATGCTCTGCACAATAATTAAGTTGGAAGAATAATCTGTGGAAAAATACAAGGCCTCTTCTGTTCTCATCACCTAGAAGAGAAGCCATTCACAGAGCAACAGGATATGGGAAAGGGACCTTGGCTAATCTGCTGGTGAGAAAAGCGGCTGATGCACACCAGGCAGCTACGCACATCCCTGCCTGTGTGTCACTGCACAAAGCGCTGAAAAAAACAGGTTTGGTTTCACAGTGTTTTGCGTAGCCAACCTGATGTTTTCACTGTGGAGATATTTTATGTATATATACAAATATATGAAAGAATCCTGAAATTCCACTGTGAGACACTACATGGCAAAGGACCAAGACCAAAACCAAAAATAGATCAGGGAGAAAGAAATGAGGCTAGCCCTGTAACCCTGTCAAGAGATTCAAAATAGCACAGTAGGAAATCCATAGGAGAGCAAATCCCTTTCATCCTGTACAGTTATCCCTTGCTACATAGTTGTTTTTGGCTCTCTCCTTTCAAGCTGTAAAGGCCTAGATACTTCTCTGCAGAAATTAGAAGTTTGCCTGGGTATAACATGATAATTAATAATTCTGAGTTATCTAAAATGCAAATTAGGCTGCCAAATATGTTCCATTAATGATCCTTTTAAAGTTACAACAGCATTTTCAGAAAAATTATTTCATCACAAATGTAGGTCAGTGACTGTATTCCACTGATCAGATAACTCGAATATCTTAACCTACTTAAAGGAGTTTAAATTTAAACTTATTTCCAAAATCACCCATTGCAAAATGATACATATATATATATGTGTGATATCTGTATATTTGTTTATATATGTTTTATAAATGTACATATATCTACACGTTCCTAATTCCAATTTAGAATGACTGAAAAAGTCATCCCAAATATTATCATAAAATCAAAACATATAAAATACAAAACATCGATGCAATAGCCCTTGATTACTTCTAATTACAACTCAACCCAAATTTTCATGCTGCCCTGCCATATTGCTCGCTCTCACTTCATGTAGCCAATGTTTCACAGCTTTGCAAGCAAGCAAGAGATGCTAATGCTCTGATGTAATTCCATACAAAATACCCCTTGACATGCTTTATTTGTTTTTCTAATTAAGTGCTTAGCCAACCCACACTGCAATATGGACACATGTAACTCTGTGAGCGTACATCATGCTTCTCCACTCCTGCAAATGACTCCCACCTTCCTGGAAACACACATGCAAACCTCCTACCTCCCAAATGCAGATGGTATTAATTATCAGAAAGGACCTAAATGTTTACAACAGGGATTTAACATTTTCATCAACATGCTTCTTTACTAAGTATTAATAAAAATATAGGTGGAATAAGGGCAGTGTTTGCCAAACTCTAACCAGAAGTAATGTGAATTTACAAATTTCATGCAATTTTGCTTTAAACAGTTACTCAAAGATATACCAATTGCCAAGTGATTTACGATGTACTTATCATTAAATAAGGTCCAATTTTTATACAGCAACTATCCACTCACTCAAATGAACTGTGACTCTAAGTTCTAACCTTGCTTCTAACATTGGAAACCAGAGGACTTCTAGTCAGGGTGAAGACAGCAGCATTGCAGCATCATCTGCAGTGGACTCTCCAGTTTGAGTTTGTTGCACTTAGGTGTTGGCCCTTCTAAGGACTTGTTGTGAATTTGAACAGAATACAGTGCACGGTGCAAAAAAAGTGCAGTTCACAGCACACCGAAAGTATGAGCTGGTTTGGTAGTCCTTGAAACTGAGCCACTGCAGGGCGCAGACAGCATCTGCCCCACCACTGACCTCCATCTGAGGGGCAGCAACAACTGTGGCGAGCAACCTAGCACCACGGGTCTGATGGTCATGCTCTGCCCTGCTCACCATGCTGATACCAGCACCAGTGTGGCCAGTCTGCAAGGGGAATGCCAGTTCATTTTAATTACTGGACTGAATGGCCAGCAAGTGGTAACTGTATGATGATTATGGGCAAGATTATCACTAAATCAGTCATTTCTTACTATTAGATATGCAGAACTATATCTGCATCTAATTTTTGTTACCCTTATAGATCATAGTGCATGCTTTCCCACAGCCTGACATAATTCAAGGGCCTGAATTAACTTTACTGAGAGATCATCCCACTCTGACATAGAGAAAAGGGGAACAGAGAGAAAAAAATAATGGAGGTAGGAAGCAATTTCCAAAACCTGCTACCAACAGCACAGGCATCAGTAACATCTATAGGAAAAAGCTCTACTGAGAACATCACTGAATGTGCCCCAGGCACTAGGCACAGTGAAGCAAGCATAAAATTGGAGTGGGTAACAGGCCATAAAATAAGAGTTTCTTTGATAATTAAATGTACCATATTCTTGACCATAATCTCCATGAAGGTAACTGTGCTATGAAAGTCTAGATATCCAGACACGCATCCAGAGAGTAGCTACATTGACACACACAGAAAGCACAGAGAGATTCCCCTTCTGTAAAAGGTGAATAAAGATCTCCCTTGGCTGTTGTACACAGAGGAAATACCTGACGTGAGGCTCACTTCGTCCCAAGCAGAAAAACAGCAGAGCAGTCCTCCTCTAATTCAGCTGGTTTCTTGGATGCTTCCCTTACACCACTCTCAATTTGAGCTCAGCTTTCCATCTCTCTGCTACAATCCTTTTACACTCCATTTGGCCTCACTTTCTGCTGTATAAATCTCTGTATTTATGACAGGCAGCTGTGACTATTCCTCGAGCCAGGAGGAGAAACTCTTTTCCTGGAACAGATCAGTGCCGGAGACACACACACGCAGCAAACCCTTCAAAAGGACTTGAAGTGCTCTGCTGGAGCGCTCACTACCAAAAGCATACCTTCAGAGGAAGGTAAGGGACACGGTGTCACAGTGACTGGCAATAAAGGCAGAAAGAATTATTTCCAGAAGACACAGGAAGCTTTTGAACAGATATGACAGTTCCTTACCTTCACTGAAATCAGCTTCTTTCTAAACGTACGTACAAGTACCTTAAGGCAACATGGATGCATTAATGATATGATTACTATGATAATTTGTTATCCGACTTCAGTGCCTTAATATTTACTGTTTACTATCAAGCATAGAATCATAGAATCATTAAGGTTGGAAAAGACCTCTAAGATCATCGGTCCAACCGTTCAACCCAACACCACCATGCCCACTAAACCATGTCCCTAAGCGCCTCATCTACACGTCTTCTAAATAC